GGGGGAGGTGGGGGGGTGCTGTGGGGGGGAGTAAGGGGGAGGTGACTGGGGCGGCACCGTGGTGGGGACCAGGGGAGGTGGACAGGGGTGCTGTGAATGGGGTAGAAGGCGAGGATGGACAAGGGTGCCTGCGTGCGCCTCACTCACCTGAACAGGTCTAGCTCGTGGACACTGGTGAGGACCACGGGGGCAGGCAGCAGGTTCTAAGGGGGACAGGGCTCAGGCTGAGGGTGGGCGGCTCAGGCTGAGGGTGGGCACCTCAGCTGAGGAAAGCCCTCAGGCCACAGCCCTGCCCCTGCCCCACACCAACCCAAGCATGCGGCGGGGGATGGTGGTGGTAGTGGTGATCCATAGTCTGAGGCCACACAGTAGACAGAAGGCCCAGGTGCGGGTAGGGTGCTGGTGTAGCAGGCCTCCTCCCCACCCCTACCTCCTGGCTGCACTGCTTCGGAGGGCTGGACTCAAGCTGGTCTACTCTGGTCGGAATGCGCACCTGAGCAGAGGGGCAGTGCCAGCAGTGGGCCCCCACACCCTGGTGCCCACCTGCCACCCACCCGTCCACCAGCCCTCACCTGGATGACGACCCCCATGACAGGCAGGTTCAGGGTCCGCCCTGGTATGGGGGCTGGCCACTGGTCAATCTCATTGCACACTGTGGACATGGGCAGTGGGTCAGCGTGGCAGCCTCCAGAGACATTCCTGAGGCCCCACCCACTGTCACTCACCAGCCTCCAGGCAGGGCACCAGCTTGTCAAAGTACTCAGGGGCGACCAGGCTCAGAAGCGCTCGGAACAGCCTGACAAAGGGCAGGCGGGACACCAGCACCAGAGACTGCGCGGGCCGCAAGCGGTCAGAGGGCACAGCGAGGCCAGGTGCACCCCGAGGGGACTCAGCGCAGGCCACAAGCGGTCAGAGGGCACGGGGAGGCCAGGTGCACCCCGAGGGGACTCAGCGCAGGCCGCAAGCGGTCAGAGGGCACGGGGAGGCCAGATGCACCCCAAAGGGACCCAAGGCATCCGGGAAGTGGCCCCCAGACCCAGGGAGGGACATCGAAGATAGGGAACAGTCTATTGGACAGGAGAAAACCCAGAGCCCCAAACCGGGCTGGGAAGATCCAGGTAGCTAGGCCTGGGGCACCAGCTGCAGAGGAAAATACTGGCCACCCAGTCCTGGACAGGTCGCTGCTCAGAGCTTCCAAGTTCAAGACTGTGCTAACCCCACAGGCATCCTGAGGGCCTCGCCCACCAGCAACAAGGAACAGGGATGTCCTGGACCAGACACAGAAAGGACTGTCCCCAGAGGAAGCAAGGAGAGCTAGGGGCCCAGTGGGGCAACGAGGTGGCTGGGGGCTTAAGGGGGCTCCCTGGAGACCCTCCTACTGTCCCCCTCACCTTCTGGAAGTAGCCCCTCTTCACGGAGCTGTCCTTCACCTGACGGAAGTACACATAGCCGAAGTAGTGTGCCGGCTCCCGCTGGGAGGAGCACAGGGTCACCGGGCAGCCGCCGTCCAGCTCCTGCCTCTGCCCAGGCTGCCCTGCTGGACCCACCCTCCGCCCTCTGGGGCCTGCTCGTGGCCACAGCACAGCCCTTCCATCAGACTGCACACCAAGGTGGAAGCCCCTGGGGATGGCGGGATCATGTGGGGCCTGGGGGCCAGAAGCCATCAGAAGCTTCACCAGCCTCTGCTCGTCTGGTTCACCATTTGCTCTCCGGCTACAGACACACAGGGTGCACGGAATGCTCGGGGGTATGGGCCCTGCAGCAGGTGCTGACCCGGAGGGGGGGACCAGCCACACAGAGAACCAGCACCCTCAAAGGAGCTGCCCACACCAGCCTCAGCCTGGTCCTGGGGCCCAGGGGTGGGCGTGACAAAGACGAGCAGGGAGAGGCTGGCCTGGCCAGAGCCTCCCACCCCAGCTAGGGCCTCACCTGCAGGGACACGGGGGCTCCACTGCTATACTGCCTGTCGTCAGCATGGCAAGGGCTCCGAGGCCGCCCCGACTGGCGGATGCGGAAGCTGAACTGGGTGTCCCCGAGGCAGCCTGGGAGGGAGCCCGCCCACACGAGTTGAGTCAAAGCTGCTGAGGGCAGCAGGAGGGGCCCTGACTACATACTCCCTGCGCCAGGTATCAAGCGGGCCTGACCCACAGACATGGCAGGTTGGGGACAGAGAACCAGATGGGAGGAGCCCTGGGAAGAGCAGGCAGGTGGGTGGCCCAGAGGAGGTCTCCTTCCATGGCGAAGTGTGTCGGGGCGGCTTACCTGAGTGCGAATCAGGGAAGGACAGGAAACAGATGCTGCCCTTCTGGAAGAGAGGAAAGGCCGCCAGTGCCACGCCGCTGCCAGTGGCATCCTCCCCGGGGCTACGACCCACCTCCTTGTCCGTGAGTCTGAAGTCACTCGGGTACACCAGCTGCAGGAGGGCAAAGCACAGGGGCGCCTGGGGTGACAGGCGCTCCCCCCCAGGAAGCATCCCCACTGCACGCCTGACCCTCCTGGGTGCCTGGGGTGTCCTGATCCATCTGGACCCAGATTACCTCCAGCTGCTCTTTCCTGGCTCCAGCCCTCCCGTGGCTCCTCCTCCGCCAGCCTGCCCCTCCACGCCACCTGGGCCATCAGACGACTCCTGGGCACCCCACATCTATGGTGGGCCACCCCCGTCCTCCCCACAGCACTGGAAAACCATCATGGCCCTCCTCCCTTAGTGGCTGCAGGCCCTGCCTGACCAGCCTACCTGGACAGCTTCCCTCACTCCTCTACCCCTCGACCCTCCTCTGGCCACTCTGAAGCCTCCCAACACCAGCAGGGTAACAGGGCAGCCCCTTGCCAGCCATCAGCCAGAAAGGCAAGAGCCCAGAGCCCTTGTGGCAGCAAGAGGGGCCGTGTGTCTTGCTTCTGGTTGCTCTGGCAGTAAAAGACAGGTCATTCCCAGGGCACCTTTGCTCCCGGGACCAGTCCCAGAAGTACTGCATCTGGGGCCTGTGGGGGAGAGGGACCTACCAGGGAAGGAGTGGGAGCCAGAGGTGGTCCAGGATCCTGAAGGGGAGGGGGGTGGGGACCCACAAGGAGGAGGGAGGGAAGAGGGGCCTGAGTCCAAGGGATAGAGGGGCCTTGCAGGGCGGTGGGGAGCCTGAGGGCAAGGGGGAGCCTAAGGACAGGAGGGCCAGAGCCTGAAGGTCTATGTGCAATGACCCCCAACCCCAAGAACGGCTGTTGCCCCTCGGGCTCACGCTGAGACAGGCTGCTCCTGGGGCGTGCCCTGAACCTCCACGCAGATGAGGTACTGCCCCGTGGGTCCTCCACCCCACTGAGCCCTGGCAGGTCACTTATTGGTTCTGTGCAGGGAACCTGCTTTGTTCTGTGTTGGGGGGCTCGTTGCTATAGCCCCATTTTGTCCCTTCGTGAGGGGGCCTGTGCCCTAGGCCTTTGGCAGAGAACACACACTTGTGGGGTGTGGAAACGTGTGTAGAGTGTGACGGAACCAGATGACACTGGTCAAAGGCCACAGAGTGGGGCGGTGGGGGGACTTGCTGAGCCTCAGGACAGCTTAGCAGACTGTCAGGGCTGAGCAGGCTGAGGGGCCACAAGACCACCTCAGTCCACGTGGAAGAGGGCCAAGGGCAGGGGTCCTGCGGCCAGCACAGGGCCGTGGTGCCCAGGTTAGGAGTCCAGCAGGCCTAGGAACCCTGTGAGGTGGAGGCAGGAGGCTAGGTAAGTGACCAGGGTGGGCATGCCTGGGGGCATGGAGCAGAGCCTCAGAGAGAGGCTGGGCCAGGGGAGGGCAGTGAGCATGCCTCCCAGGCCGAGGTCAGGCTGTGCCCTGCCCAGTGGACCTCTTTGCTCTGGCTGCTGCTCCCGGCTGGCATGTGGTCCACGAGGCCAAAACTACTTCCACATGCCAGTGGCATCTTCCGCTACTCTTTCTGGCAATGTGCAGGGCGGAGTCCCAGAGGTGACGACGGTCCTGTCATCACAGACTGAAGCAGATGCCAACAAGCCAGCCAAGAGGTAAAGCCATGCACATGCTTGGCTGCTAAGCAGAAGGGCGGTGGTTCAAGTCCACTCAGAGGTGTCTGGGCAGAAAGGCCTGATGAAGTCCTCGGCGCACACAGCTCCACGCTGACACGGAGCTGCCGTGGTCCCAGGTCAACCCTACGGCATCTGGTTAAAGCAGTGCCACTCTTCCCACCACATTGGGGTTTTTGGAAAGCAGTTGTTTTTCTAAAAATGTGCTACATTAAAATGTAATGCGTTTGTTATTCTTTCAAAATAATATTTAAAAGATTTCTCAGTTTTGAGTCCAGTAAATGTGGGCAGACACCCCACATGAGCTCCTTGGGGTCCTCAATCATCTTGGGGATTGTCAGGGAGTCCGCAGTCTACAACGTTTGAGAGCTCCTGCCTCAGCAAGGCACAGACACTGTGGTGGACAAGACTTGGAGGTGCTCTGACCAAAGGTCACCCAGGGCTCCCTGGCTCAGGAGGAGTATCAATTCACAGCTGAACGGTAGAGCCAGGCCCCGAGTCTGCCCTGACCTGGCCAGTCTCGCCCACTCCTCCACACAGGACTCGCCTGCCTGCTTTCCAACCACTGCCCCAGTGGTCCATGGACCTGGGGGCACTGGACTCTGCCCTGTCTGTGTGTCTCAATAGCAGAAGACATGGGTTCCTGGAGGGCAGGGCCGGCTTCTCAAGCACTGTGCCTGTGCCAGCAGTGCCTGACTGGGGCAGTGCTCAGGGCTTCTGTGAATGAATGAGTGAGTGAATAGGGGAGTGAATGAAGCAGCAAGGGACAGCTCCATGCCATCTTCCACTGACTCTTTTGGGAGGAGCTAGTACCTGAAATAGCATAGTGCCTAAGGCACTTGACTGCTAACCAGAAGGCTGGCAGTTCAAACCCACCAGCCACAGCCACTCCTCCTCGGAAGGAAGGTTGGGCAATATACTTCCGCAGTGATACTGCCTCCTGGGCAACCCAAGGAGGGGTCGCTATGAGTCAGGCCGAGGAGGGCACATAACAACAAGTACCTGAAATAGCACCCCACCCATGTCCAGCTGCCTCCTCCTCCAAGACTTAGCCAAGGGCTGTTCCTCCAGCCACTACTTCCGCTGGGACGCATCCCCATCCTCTGAGCTAGTGTCACTCAAACAGCTAGAATTTCTGGGCGGAGGCCCCTAGGTTTTCCATCCCCATTCTCATCCCAGCATGCAGTGTTGGGCAAGGTGCTGAGCCAAGGCTAACCCCAGAATAAGTGAGTGCAGGGCTAAATGGTGACCTCAAGGACAAGGAGGGAAGAGAGGCATCCACTGGGAGCAGGGCACCTCCCGAGGGACTCAAGGGCCTAATTTCTGCATTTCAGAAGTGGCCCTGGGTGTCCAGTGCTGCGCCCCAACACAGCCTCTGAGCTGCATCCTCAGGAACGGCTCAGGATGTCTAGCACACAACCAGCAGCAGAAGACGCTTAGAGCTGACTTTGCAAATGTTCCAAAACCTAAAAAACTAAAGCTACTGCCATCAAGGGGATTCCAACTCACAGTAACCCTAGAAGACAGAGTGAAACTGCCCCACAGAGTCTCCCAGGCTGTAAACCTTTATGGAAGCAAAGCCCAAACCATACCCACTGCCGTCAAGTCAATTCTGACTCCACCCACCTATTGGACAGAGGAGAACTGCACCATAGGGCTTCCAAGGCTACAAATCTTTATGGAAGCAAACTGCCTCATCTTTCTCCCACAGAGCATCTGGTGGTTTAAACCACTGACTTTCTGGTTAGCGGCAGAGTGCCTTAACCACTGCACTACTGCATGTGACAGTTCTGTAAGGACACAGAAACACTTCTTTTCCTGTGATTTTTCCAGGGAACAGTCTGGCAAGTGCAGAGGTAAGAACGGACTCTGAGGTGGCCACATGTGAGCTGTGGGACCCTAGACAGATTCCTTCACCCCTCTGAGGTCTGGGTCCCCTCTGTCAACAGGAGGTATTAGGAAGAGCAGGTACGTCAAGGGAGGTACATGAGGAGCAGGCCCCCAGAGAGAGCCTGGCACAGGGCCAGACACAGAGCCCTTGCTGAGAGCTGCGATTCTGGGCACCTCACAGCCAAATGGGATGAGGAGGCCTCTGTCGGACCCAGTCAGACAGACAGCAGGGCAGCTGTCCTGAGCAGACAGGGCTGCCTCACCCTGACAACCCAGCAATGGGTGTTCACTACTTCTTGGGCTTCCAGAAGGTTCCTTCTGACAACAAGTCAGCCCCTGGTCTGTTGAGGCCCTTGGAGAACACAGAGGACCATCCTGATGGGGCCTGCGGGGCCTCCCTGGGGCACGGCATTTTCACCTGCTCTCAAAGAAGAGATGACCACGTGCACTGAGGGGGCCCAAAGCCCCACAGGTAGTGGGAAGACCACATCGAAGTGCAGCCAAGGACTAGAAAGATGACCAATGTGTCCACAAGGCCATGCACAAGGCCGAGACCCTCGGATGGGGCAGAGGCCCGGCTGAGGGAGCTTGGATGTGGTCCCAAGTGAGAAACAGGCCCAAGGGGTGGACTGTGTGGGTGTGGCAGCAGCCAGGGAGGGGGCACCTGGATGTGGTGGTGGCAGCCGAGACAAATGGGTCTGAGATCACTGTTGCAGGCACAGCCTTGACCCCCGTGTGGCTGGAGCAACTGAGGGTACCATTAACTGGGGTACGGAAGGGGGTAGAGAGGAAGTTTTTTATGGGAAGAATGCAGCATACCACTGCGTTCCTCTAAATCGCAGAGCCCCCTCCCCTCCTGACAATGTGAAGATGAAAATCAAGCCCTAGCAACGCGTCATTGGTTCCTGTGCTGGGGGAGCCGCTCCCTGAGCCCTGAGTGAGCCTTTCAGAAATAGGTGAAGTCGCAGACTCCAGAGGAACAGGAAGAGGGAACGTCTCTCCGAGGCAGGTGGATAATAAAGGACGTGGTGGGTGATCTACCCGAGGGTGCGTGTGCACGGGGCGCCACTGAGGGCCCCCACAAGGCAGGAAGGAGGCATGGTTGTACCTGCCTCTGGGGATGACAACGTTGGGTGCCAAGTGGGGGCTGAAGAGATGGAGGCGGAGGCCCGGCCCGCCCTCCCCGGCCCGCCCAGCGGCTCACCTCCAGCGCCTGGCCCAACTCCAGGTCGAAGGTGACCACGCACACGCACTCCAGCCAGGCGGAGAAGCGCGCCCAAGGTTGCGACGGAGCTCGCGCCGCGCGGCCCGAGGACTGCAGCACAGACGTGGGGCCAGGCTCCGGGATCGGCGTGCCGAGACTGCCGCGAGCCCGGCGAGGCCCGGTACCGGACAGCGAGTCCATGGCGGCGGCGCGTTGCCGAGGGAACGCGCGCGAGGAGGCAGCGGGAAGGCGCGCGTCGGAGCGCCGCACCTCGGAGCAGTCGTGCGGCACAGCGGACAAGAGAGGCCGTCCCGCCGTCTCGAGCGCCACCTGTCGGCGGAGGAGCACCGCGCCGCATAGCACGGCCGATTCACCAGCGAGAAGGGCCCGTGCGGACCAGAGCGGCCCATGGCCCGCAATAGGGCCTTCTGGGATGGTGGTGGGCTCCGGAAGGCGGTGAGGCTGGGATGGGAGTGGGCGGTAGGGTATGGAATCTACTGTGGCACCGCGACCAACAGGCAGGGATCTGAACGTGGAGCCAATAAAACATAAGTAAATATATTTCTGGTATTCTTCGCTTTCAGGAGGATCCATCAGATGTCAGCAATGATATCCCTTGTTCCACTTCCTCTTCCGAATCCAGCTTGCATTTCTGGAAGCTCTGTGTCAATGTACTGCTGCAACTGTTTTTGAATTATCTTCAGTAAGATTTTATTTGTGTGTGATATTAATGATATTGTTTGATAATTTCCACATTCTGTGGGATCACCTTTCTTTGGAATGGGTACAAATATGG